AAATGTTTGCGTGTTCAAGGTTTCAATACAACCTCCAGAATATTTTCGCGATAATATTCGGCATTTATTCTGAATTAATACGAGCGGAGAGCCACCATCGGCTGTTATGGCAGCCCACACCATCATCATGACCGTCGCTTGAGTTCTGGTGGCCAACCGAAGGTGCACATTTTCAACTGACCTCTTTGGCTAGTAAACACGATCATTTTGTTTGTTTTCAAACTGCTGGACAACGAATGTTTTCTCATCGGAGAAAACCAAATTCGGCAGTTCACCAATTTCGGCCAAGCGAAGCAACTCTTTAACTCTTTTGAGTCTATTTTTTCTGTCGCTGTGTAAGTTCTTGCACTTTTTGGAATTTCAATGGCTTTACCCTGAGCTCATTTTTCAATACATACCGAATAGAATATTGTGATATGTTTAGCTCACGAGTCATTTTTCGATCAAGTCACTTCGTTACTTTTCGAACCATTTCTGCTGATGTCTTCCGTCCACTTTCTTGATATCGGGCTACGCTACCATTATCACGGTAACGAGCGATGGTACGAGACACAAAAGATTTATTGACATTTAAATACTGGAGTGCTCTAACAATAGCCACTTGAGGCTTCCCAGCCAAATATAAAGAAATCACGCTATCACTTGTAAATTCTCACCAAAACGCTTTTGAACGCTTGTAAACAATATATGAACTGTCACTGGAATAATTTTAACAGCTGTCGGACGTGTTGGCTAGAAATGACAGCAGTCTGAAGTTGGTTGCAGTTTTTTCATCTCACCCTGTATACTTACCTTATTTTCAACATTTGACTCCCACCACTCCCACATACAACAATAAAAAATAATTAAGCCAGAGCCTTAAAATGCATAATTTTTTATTTGATTTAATTTTTCATTCAGTTATTATTTCTTTCAATTCTATTAGCAAGTTCATCTCGAGTTTCGTCTGTTAAAACATATGTTTAATTTATTTGTTTTTGTCTTTGTTTATTTGTTTTGAGGGATAGAGTTTTTGTTATTGAAAAAATTTAATTTACTTTTTCTTTGCTTCGAAGCATTCAAATTTATTTATTTGTTTCTATTATTTCTTTTGTTATTGGTACAATATCAATTTGCTTAATTTGTTTCTTTATTTTCCCATGGTGCAAATTCTCGATTCTTTTATTTTTCTTCCTTATTATTAATTGAAAGCAAAAAATAAAAAGATAAATATGGAAGTTGAAATAAAATAAAAATTGGAAAAATATGCAAATATTCTCATATTAGAAATGTTAAAATCATGTTGTATTAATTATACAAGAAAAAAATTAGCAACCAGGAATCCAGAATTGTATGGTTCGTAAGTGTTCATATCTACTGTTATCACCCGTTTTAAATCCCACTATACCCAGCGAAAATTTGAGCCGAATAACACATTAAACGGAAATATAAATAAACTACCATGACAGAATAAGGAAGGTAAAATGTCAAACGGTTTTTGACAATGTATTTGTGTCAGTTTAAATGCAAATAAATATATATCTACTATATGTAGTTACATTCAAAAGAATCAACAAATTTAATTAAAGAAAAAAAAACCAAAAATGAGATTTTGTGTCATTTCGAACAAAAAGTATGGTGAGGGGAACGAATGTTTTTTCACATTTCCTAAATGTGACAAATTAAGGGAAATGTGTTCAGAGGCTTGTGGAATCAATTTTGGAATGACCAATTTTACCATATGATGTGATTTGCTATTTCAAACGGAAGCGCTTGTATGCAAGCGCCACACCGTTTGTGGTAGCAATCCCAAAAGTATCGCCACAGTTATGTGCAAATGATGGCCGCATCGAAAATCTCAAAGCAGAAATTTAGGGGAATGATAAAGCCGGGCCAAACTTTGAATACCCTCCACCATTTGGAACGAATTTGGAAATTAAAAAAAATAAAATAAAATCCTTGAAAAAATTCTGTTAAATATTAAAAATACCGAATGTTGCCGTTATATTGGGGTCTATACGACGTGGACCTACATAGGCATTGTTTGCCATTAGCCATTACCATATTCAAATTCGAAACTTGAAATAAACGGTGAATAATGGAGCTAATCGTCAAAATATCGTATATAGGGAGATACCATTATATCGGAGCTGTGCGAAAACCTGGTCCAGCATAGACAATTTTCTGTCACAGGCTATAGCATCCATTACTAACGTCAAATATGATATCTCAAACAATTTCGGTGGGTATTGTACCTAAACTCGTCAAAATACCGAATATAGGGAGGTACTGATATATGGGGCCTATAAGAAGTCCTGGATCTGCATAGACATTTTTCTGTCACAGACTGTAGTTCCCATTAAGAACTCTAAATACGTAATGTGAAACAATTCCGGTGAATAATGGCGCTAAAATCCGGAAAATATCGAATTTTGGGAGGAACCGTTATATGGGGGCTATACGAAGACGTGGACCTGCATAGACATTTTTCTGTCACAGACTGTAGTTCCCATTACAAACTCTAAATACGTAATTTGAAACAATTCCGGTGAATAATGACGCTAAAATCAGCAAAATACCGAATATCGGTAGGTACCTACATGGCCCATTTACGAACTTAACCTGCCTACTGGAAAAATAAACACGTGTGCAAAATTTTAGCCTTCTATCTCAATTCGTTCGGAAGATAGCGTGAACAGACAGACAGACAGACGGACAGGGCTAAATCGACTTAAAATTTTACGATGATCAAGAATATATATACTTTGTTGGGTCTGACATGAGTATTTCGAGGAGTTACAAGCGGAATGACAAAGTTAATATACCCTCCATAGTATGGTGGAGGTATAAGTATTGGAAATTGTGACCCTTAGTGGGTGAGGTGCCAGTAGCCGTTGGCAGATGTATATCATCTTCACAACAGATCTTTTGTTAGCAAGAATGTTTGTATGTGGGAAATTTAAAGAGATGTGTTTGGGTGCTTATTTCGCTTTTAGTTTTTCAAAATCTCGAACCCTATGTGGGGGATGTACCAGAAGAAATGGTGCGATATCTATCATCTATATGACAGATCTTGTGTTGATGGAAATATTGAGATGTATCAAGTCTAAATCGAATCGGACGTTATTGTCGAGTTTTATGAGTTTTATGATTGTTCAACATTATGACCCTTTGTGGGGGAGGTACCAGAAGGAGTGGACCGATATATTCAATCTTCCCATTAGACATTGAATTAATTAAATTACTGTAATGTGTGTAATTTGAAATCAAGGTAACCACATTTCAAATGATAATATACATCTCTGAAATGTACCTTCTCAAATGTAACTTCATTGAAATAGGTTTCTGTATCTGACTTTTGTAAGTATGTTGCTGAGATGTTGTCAAATGTAAAATTTTGAAATCAATTTTGGGTTTTGAATGAAAAATTATTTAAATTTGTAAAAAAAAAAAAATAAAAATGCATTTCTTATAATAAACATATAAACGATTTGTTTTGAATGTCAACCCACAAGGTTCAATAGATCTAGTCAGTCAACTTTGGGTGTTTAACTACGCTATTAGAAGGATATTAATGCCGCTCAGCAGATTTTTGTTTACGAATACTACACGCACCGACCCGGCTTCTGGGACAATGAAATGTCAAACCAATTTCGGAATTGAAATTTTTGAATGAAAATATTAAAGTATTAAAATTCGCTGAAATGGTTGGAAATGCATATCATAACAACCTCCGAATGGCGTCGTATAACAAAGGATAAGATAATGTACTTATTTTGAAAACAAGTAAGCAAAGGCTATAGTCGTGCGGTGCTGACCATGTGATACCCTACAACACTACAATATGTTCGAAGCTCCTTCTATCCAAATCCACTTTGGAATATTTCGAGCCCCGCCCAGAGGTTACCCTTACTTGTTAAGTAATCAAAACAATTTCACACGAAATTTGTAATCCACAATGCTAGACTTCTTCCCTGTCTTTAACTCTCTTCTGATGCGAAATTCCATGTCGATTAGTTTTCAATTGTTGCCTATAGAGCGACTACAAAATTAGAAAAAAATAATTTTTTTAGTCCTTTTGCACCTCTAAATGGGCATCTTAAGAACAATAGGCTTTAATTTTGACCCTAACCCTACCCCCATCCAAAATTTCGTGAGGATCGGACGATAATGGCGACCCTCAAACAGTAGTGTTGGGGGGGTGGGGGGTGTACAAATTTAGAAAACTTACAATTCAAAATTATAAAGGGCTAAGTACATAAGAAGCTTGAAGTCACGGCTAGGCATATTAATGTCAAATTATAATGGAAAACGACGGCTGGATTTTAGTGCGTCTCTGTAATCCCTTTGTGAAATGGTCCAAAATATGCCTAGCCGTGACTTCAAGCTTCTTATGTACTTAGCCCTTAAGTCAAATTGAAAAAATCACATGCGATAAAAATTATGAACAAAATTGAAAAAATTGACAAAATATATTCACTTTTTTATTCGAATATTTTCCCACGATTTTCTTAGATATTATAGTTTTCTGGCAAGATACCATTTCGAATTGATGGGAATTGTGAACAGACGGACGGACGGACGGACATACATGGCTAGATCGACTCAGCTCGGCGAGCTAGGAAGATCCATATATACTTTCCTATGTGGGAAACCAATATTTCGAGGTGTTACATAATTTTTGGCCCAATCAAACTTATAATACCCCCAACATATAGTGTTGTAGGGTATAAAAAACACTTTAAAATTGTTGACATATCAGTGTTCCCAAGAGTTGATGCATCTACCTACACAACCAACAAATATGATGTAGAGAAAAACTTAATATGGAGACGATTGCTGTGGAAGAGGTAAAACAGCAGTTAGTTCGACCGGACCTAACTCTGAATGTCCCCCACCATATGGAAGGACCTTGCATTTTCAACAAAAAAGTTGAAAATGACTGCTAAAATCATAAGAATACCGAGTATAGGGAGTTACCGCCACGAAGGCTCGGACCGTCGGCAATTTTCTGCCACAGACTGCAGTACCCATTACGAATTCACAACAGCAAATCTAAAACAATTCCGATGAAAGAGGTTGCTACAATTATCAAAACACTGAAGATAGTTAGGTATAGTTAGTATAGTTAGTTAGTAAATCGAAGTGGTTTTCAATATATAGCATTGTAAAACGTTTGAAAGACTCTGCAGATTTCTTAAACATGGCACACACTGGACGCCCGCGAAAGCTAACTGCTAGAGAAAAATTAGAGGTTGTAAGAAAAATTAAAAACAACCCAAAAATAACTCCTACCCAAGTGGCTGCAGAGTGCTTAGAGGAGATGAATAAAAAAATCCGCCCAAAAACGGAATCTTCATCGTGCCGCAGGAAAAAAATCTCACATAAGCAAACAAAATAAAGCCAAACTTCTTACCTTTGTAAAAGAGTACTAACACAAGCCAATTAGCTTTTGGGATGGAGTGATCTTCTTCGACGAGAGTTAATTTAACATTTTTCATTCTTATGAAAGAATTCGTTTATGGAGACGACCAAATACCGAGTTAGAAAAAACAATGTGTTCAGCACGTTTAAGCATAGTGGAGGAGAGGTCATGGTGAGGAACTATATGTCCTCAGCAGGTGTGGACTATGTCGACTGTTTACTTCACTTGATATGAGATATGTGTTTTTAGAGAATATTAAAATGTGTGTGAGGTGCCAGATATAGTGGATCGAAGTATTCCACTTAATCTAATACTTATAAAAAATATTGGAACCTGTAAAACGCAAAGAAAATGGAACACTGTTTTTTTGAATTGTATGCGAATACTTTTAAATAAAAATTTTAATTTTTGTGGTGGAGGAGGTATCGAGTGCATTCACATCGGATCTCTTGTTGAAGGATATATTAACATATACCAGGTTTGAATAGAGTCGCTGACTTGTTTCGCAAATTATGAGAGATTAAAGTATTTAAAATTGTAATCGTTAGTGGGGGAGGTACCCCAAGGGATAGGTCTATATCTACTATCTTCAAACCATATCTTGTATTAGTAGAAATATTGAGATGTGTGAAGTGAGAATGTGAGAGAATGTGAATTGGACGTTTATTTTGCACTTTAAGAGCATTTTGTTGCCAAAAATTTGGATCTCACTGTGGGGGAGGTACCAGAAGCAGAAGATCAATATATCTGATCTTGGCATCAGATCTTGTGTTAGTAGAAATATTAGGATGTGTGAAATTTGATGAGAGTCGGATGCCTATTTCACATTTTATGAGAGATATAATTATTCAAAATTTAGCGCCTTTGTGGGGGAGGTACCAGAAGAAATGGTCCGATATCTACCATACCATTGAGATGTGCTAAGTCTGAATGAAATCGAATGTTATTTAAACTTTAACCCTTTGTGTGGGAGGTACCAGAAGGAATGTTCCGATCTCTACCATATTTATAATGGAACTTGTGGGGTTGGAAATATTGAGATATCCAAAGTCTGAATGAGCTTATGAGCTGCATGAACATTCAAAATTTTGACCCTTTGAGTGGGAGGGGGCAGAAGGAGTAGACCGATATACTCCATCTTCACACCAGACCTTGGGTTAAAAAAATATTGCAATGTGTGTAATTTGAAGGCAATCGGACACTTACATCATATTTTATAAGAGTTGTAATTATTCAAAATTTTGATCCTTTGTGTGGGAGGTACTTGATGGAGTGGACCGAAAATATCCATTTTCACACCCAACTTAGAAGTGGTGATACCAAGTTTGGACCAAATCGTATACTCCCTTCGAGAGTTATCTAAAACCGTTATTTCGTCTAGGCACGTTTTGACCGCATCAAGTGTATATATACTCTCTCTAGCCATATTACTAAGGGTATAACTAGCCATATGGCTGAAGGTATAATAATGAGGATTGAATATAAAATTGTCTGCTGTGTGAATAATATTGTCCGGCACCGTACTTTGGAAATAAAGGTAGAAATCTTGAAATGCCTATTAGGGTTGCATCATGAATCTGCAATGGATATCCTCTTCGACACACTGAGGACTAGACACGCCATATAAGAAAACATAAACGACGAACCAAGTCTTCTAGTTTATGGCCATGAAAGAGTTCATAAAAAAATTGTTAAAAAAAAAAAAACAAAACAAAAATACAACAATGCCAGTGTTGAAGTGAGTTTTATTTGTAATTATTTTATTTTATTATAAGATTTAATTGTTATTTTCGGTTTTATATTTTTTAGGTTATGATTTTTTATTACAATTATTTAAAGCTGTGAGTTTGCAATACGCATTTAATTTCATTAGTTTTGTTGTTGTTCTTCTTCTTCATTATTATTATTATTTAAATGGCAAAATTCTTCCAGTTTTCTGCGCTTCTTTTATTTTTTTGTTTTTGTTGTTCTTCGTATTCAATATTAAATATATTGATTCATTTAAGAATTTTTTTTTCGTTCGATAGCTTAAACATAAGTATTAATAATAATAATTTAATAATAATAATGCTTATGATTTTGTTTTTTTTTTGTTTGTCTTTTCAAATATAAATTAGGTTAGCTTGTTTTTTTTTTAATTTTTTTATATTTTTATTAATTGCTATTTATTATCGTTTATAAGTAAGAGCTGACAATGAATAAAAAAATATTTATATAAGTTTATGTATAAATACAATTTTGTTTTTTTTTTTCTTCTAAGTATTTGGGTTTGTTTTTTTCTTTTTCTCGTTTTAATTTGTACCAATCGAAGTAAATAAGACGTTTTTTTACATTTTTTTCTTATTATTTTTATTAAAGAATGCAGTTTTTGTTATGTTTTTATATAGCTGAAATTTGTTTTAGTGTTTGTCTGTTTAATTATTATTATTAATTTGCGGTGTCATAAGTGAACTACCATAGTCCATTGAAGAAAATCACTTGGAAACACATGAAGTGAAAAGTCCAGCACATCTAGGGCATTCTTGCAGAGTGAGATGAAAAAACTGCAACCAACTTCAGACTGCTGTCATTTCTAAGCCACTAGTCCCACAGCTGTTAAACCAGTGACAGCTCATTACATTGTTTACAAGCGTACAAAATTATTTTGTTAAGATCTTTCCAGAAAAAATTATTCGTGATGAAATTCAAAGAGTGATAGAGTGATTTCTTTATATTTGGCTGGAAAACCACAAGTGGCTATCGTTAGAGCACTCCAGCATTTAAATGTGAATAACTCTTTTGTGTCTCTTACCATGGCTCGTTACCGTGACGTCAAGGAAGCGGACGGAGGAAAACAGCAACATCAGCAGAAATGGTTCGAAAAGTAAAGAAACGAGTTGATCGAAAACCGCGTCGCAGTGGCCGAAAAAGTGGCTCGTGAGCTGAACATATTGCAGTATTCCATTCGGCAAATATTGAAAAATGAGCTGGGGGTAGTCATTGAAATTCCAACAAGTAAAAAAACATTAAGTTCGGCCGGGCCAAACTTTTAATACCCTCCACTTTAAGGTAAAGAAAACATTAGAAGAAATGTGGCAAAAACCATTAAAATGCCGGGAGGTAACGTTATATGGGGGCTATACCAAATCGTGAACGCAATGTTTCGCCACCGGAGCTGGAACCCATTATGACCTACAAATAACAATTTTTAGACAAATCAGTGAAAAAATGTGGCGAAAACCATCAAAATACCGAATATCGGGAGGTACCGTTATATGGGAGCTATAGCAAATCGTCGACCCATACATGCAATGTTTCGCCATCGGAGCTGGAACCCATTATGACCTACAAATACCAATTTTTAGACAAATCCGTGAAAAAATGTGGCAAAAATAATCAAAATACCGATTATCGGGAGGTACCTTTATATGGGGGCTATACCAAAACGTGGACCTATACATGCCATGTTTTGCCACACGTACAGGGACCCGTTATGACCTACAAATACCAATTTTCAAACAAATCAGTGAAAAAATGTGGCATAAATCATCAAAATACCGAATATTGGGAGGTACCGTTATATGGGGACTATACCAGAACGTGGACCGATATATCTTATTTTCAATTCCAACCATCCTAGACACAATACGAATTGCTCTGCTAAATTTTGGCGCTCTACGTCAAATAATGTGGGCTGTATCGTGATTTCAACAAACAGACTGTCCGTCTGTTGCTTAAGAGTTGCTTCGCTTGGCCGAAAGTGGTGAACTGTCGAAAAATCTCCGATGAGAAAACATTCGTTGTCCAGCAATTTGTAAACAAACAAAATGATCGTGTTCACTTGCCAAAGAGGTCAGCTGAAAATGTGCACCTTCGGTTGGCCATCAGAACTCAAGCGCCGGCCATGATGATGGTGTGAGCCGCCATAACAGCCGATGGTCGCTCTCCGCTCGTATTAATCGACCGTGGCATCAGAATAAATACCGAATATTATCGCGAAAATATTCTGGAGGTTGTATTAAAGTCTAGGGCACGCAAACATTTTGGCCGAAGACCTTGGACATTCCAACAGGACCCAGCACGCACCACCCAAGAATGGTTACAAAATGAGGTTCCCCGCTTCATTTCCAGCACACAATGACCACCACAATCTCCGGATACCAATACGTTGAACTATTGTGTCTGGAGTATTTTGGAAAGCAAAGTTGGCACTAAAAAATACCAAAGTGTCGATTACCTCAAGCAAGAGCTTCGCCGGGAATGAGTCAAAATACCGCAGAGCAACATTCGGGCAGCGTATGACGGTTTCATTGGCCGACCAATTCGAACAAATCTAATCTTATTCCAAAATTTGATGCTATTTATGGCATTTTGATGTTATTTCCGATATAAAATTTAAAAAAATGTAAAAATGATGGCATTTGACTTTGTTGCAGTTTTATTTTATCTCACCCTGCATATTGAGATACACAACAGCATATTTTTTTAAGGCAGGCTAACTGTTTTCCCTTGGGAATACTCTGGAATAAAATTCTGAATTCTGAAAATTCTGATATTAATGAAAATTTAAAATTATGAAGGAAAATGTTTAAGGTTTCGTTGGGCGCGGAACTTTTCACAATATGTGTATTATCTGTGTGTACCTGCAAAACAACTCGGATTACTAAGTCATTAATTTTAAAAAAAGGCGTTTCGTATGAAATTTGTATCCTTTTTTTAATCACTTAAAGTCGATGGAACAAGTACTTCTTTAACGACTTTAAGTGGCTAAAAAATAACCGCTTATTTGTAATGAGAGTTTTTGCTGGGTGGCATATACAGTATGTTCTATCTGTGTGTATGCTGTATACAAATAAAAAAAAAATTGCTATTTTTGTTTTTATTTTGTATATATTTAAATTTATTTAGAATAGTTGTATTTTAGAAATCTTTCATAGCTAGCTAATTTAATTTTCTTTATTATAAGGTAGCACATAATTAAAAAAAAGTAAAATAAACAACTGAATAAAATGTAAACCATTTCGAGCGAGAAAATGTAAACCATTTTTACACGAACAAGTAAAAAAGCAGTAAGTTCGGCCGGGCCGAACTTTGAATACCCTTCACCATTTGGAAAACATTTGGAAACTTTCAAAAAAAAAAAAAATAAATAAATAAAAATTAAATTAATAATTATTTAATTATGTAATTATTAAATGCGTTAAAAATTCCGTAAAATTAAGACGTGGTCCTGCATAAGCATTTTTTGTCATAGGCCATTACAATATTCAAATATGAAATTTGAAACAATTCCTGTGAATAATGTCGCTGAAATCAGCAAAATTCCGAATATGGGGAGGTACCATTATATGGAGGCTATACAAAGACGTGGGCCTGCATACGCAATTTTTTGTCATAGGCTGTAATAGCCATTACGAATTCTAAATACGAAATTTGAAACAACTCTGGTGAATGTTGTCCCTATAATCGTCAAAATATAATATAAATATTGGAGGGTACCGTTGTATATTGGCTACACGATATCGTGGATCTATTTGGGCATTTCTCTTCCAGGGGGTAAGGTGCTTAGGAAGAACTACTAGTATGAATTTTTATACATTGAAAAATGTAGCTAAAAACATCAAAATACCAAATATAGGGAGGTACCATTATATGGGGTATATACAATATCGTGGACCTATATAGACAATACTCTTCCAGGGGGTAAAATACTCTTAAGCAACTCCTTTTGTGGATTTCAGACAATTTCATAGAAAAATTTGGCTACAATCATTGAAATACCGAATATCGGGGTTACCCTTTTTTAGGGGGGATATACAATGTCATGGATCTATATAGACAATTCTCTAACAGACGGTAAAGTACCTACAAAGAACTCTTTGTGTAGATTTTCAGACAATTCCATTGAAAAATGTGCCCAAAATCATCAAAATACCAAATATCAAGTAGGGGTACCGTAATATGGGGGCCAAAATAATTTTGGAATTCAAAATTTTCAATGAAATAATATTGAGATTTGGAATTGCAATTTTTGAATGAAAAATTATTCACATTTTTAAAAAAATGTTAAACAAACAAGTAGAATAGTATCAGTCGTTTTTGCCGACAGATGTATACCTCCAGCCTTGAGTTATGATTATTCTAACTCTTATCGGGTAGGGTTCGAAGCAGTTGACAATATTGATCAATTCGTATCTGACCTAAGACTGATATAAATGTTACAACGTGCCAGATTTGGACTATATAGACCACTTCCTATACTTTATATAAGATATGTGCAATTTTCGACTTTTTGTGGGGTAGGTACCAGAAGGAGTTGACCGATATTGTCCATTTCCGAACTCGATCTAAGTTTGACAATAATATTACGATGTACCAAATTTGGATTTGAATCGGATACAGCCTTCGAGAGTTATCGTGCGCACCAGCCAGACAGACGGGCGGATGGACGGACATGTATAGATCGACTCCAAATATTTTGAAACGAATTTGGTCCAAAGAGACCTAGAGCCTAAAACCGTTATTTCGATAAGGCAAATTTTTGGCCGTATCAAATGATATATACCCTCTGTAGCCATATGCCTGAGGGTATTATGTAAAACATAATCTATAAAACATGGTATATCTTCTTCTGCCCTCGGAGGCAAAATTTGAAAAAAAAATTAGATCAAAAATTTTAAAATTGGAAATTCACTTTCAGATACTGATACCACCATGCTGATACCCACATTTTCTGTCAGCATATTTTGAATTCGCCTAACAACTACGTCAAAATGTTATTACATTTATTCCTAAAGTAACGGACAATTTTCTAAACATAAGTATTTGAATTTAAAAAAAAATATATATACATAAATATATATAAAATAACCACGACCAGTCGAGTGCTAAGCAACGAAAGATACTCGAAGGAAGAAATCTAAAATTTATACCCTTTTGTCTCGCTCGCTACCAAGAGCTGGTTGAAAAAAAGTTGTTTGCTGAACATAAATTTGAAAGAGCGGCTCACTCAAACATCTTTCAAATCCTCCTATCCGAATATCATTGTCATCTTGACCATATTAATGATTATAATGTTTACGTAAGTAATCAGCAATTCCTATTCTTGACCCTCGCTAAACTAAACTTTTCCCTTTAATTATGTCGCTTTATGTTATGCTTGCGGAAGTTTCAAGTTCTTGGGAGTACAAGATTCCTCAAGAAACAATTATAACGGCGTGATTAGGGCATGTAAAACGGCAAATTTTGACTTGGTCCTCTTTTTTAAATTTCACACAAATTCTTATTGTCAATATAAACACAAAACAGGAATTCGCTGAATTATTTTTATATCCAGGAGAATGTATATATTATATTCGACCCAATAACAAATTTTGAAAATATATGCATTTTTTGGTAAATTAGACTTCTGGTCGACCTTTTAAACAAAAAGTGTTTTACAAGAAAAAAAAAAATAAAAAAAAAAAATTGAAAACATAACAAAATTAAAGTAATTTGCAAAATACCAAAACGAAATCTTTTAAATCCATCTTTTTTGGCTAAAATTATTTTTTTTATAATTTGATTAAAAAATAAAAAAACTATTTTTTATATTCATTTTTAATTGTAATTTTAGACTATTTTATATGGCTTATCTTTATCTAGCTATTGAGGAAAATGTGACTTATTTCGTTATTCTGTTATTTGCAAGGGAACGATGTTAGGTGTGATGATGCTGTAATGGATAAATGGAAATATTTTAATTGGACTTGTTTGTTTTTTTGTGTTATTTGTTATTTCTGTTTTTTTTTTTTTGTATTTTCTTCTTAGATTTATTGCATATTCTGATCTATTCTAGAGTATTTGAGTTTCTTTTTAAACCAAAAGTTAAGTTTTATCTTTTTAATCCATTTATGGATTTTGTTCCAAAAAAAGTTGTTTGTTGTTGTGGTTGTTGTATTTAAACCGTTATTTTTAATAATATTCATATTATTAATATAACTCCAGTCGTCATTGTCTGCAGTGTCGCCGCCATCGTCGTAGTCGTCGTCATGGTCGTGGTCGTCGTCGCCGCCGCCTTTATCGACGCCACCATTGTGTTTCATAATCATCCTCTGCTTGGTCGCCAGAAGGTGATGTCTGTTTTATACGGCCGCCACAGGCCCGGGCGGAGTTGAAATGCTCGTAGTCATTGTTTTACTTAGATTCCTGTAAGAGCAAAAATATGTCATACGTCATTACAAAAAGGGGAAGAGGGTCGTGTCGTAGTGGTGGAGGTGGTGGTAATGTGAATGTGCGAACGGGACGAATTTACAAGTGAGATGCAATTGGGGGCAGTACAAAAACACGCACACACACACATACAAATGTGGGTTTAGTTTAGAAGATAGCATTGTTTGTGATTGAGTGGTCGTGGTTGTGGTGGCTGTGGTCAGGGTGATAGTTGTGACTTGGTATGGATAAGGTCGTGTCCTCTGTTGGAGATGACCCCCAGGGCATTGTAGACTAAGAGCATCTTACACTAAAACAAAAAAATTCAAGAGAGAGAGGAAGACACACAAAGTTAGAAAAAAACGAACAAGGGAGTGATAGTAACAAAGTTTCTTATTTAAAACTTGTTCGAGGAATTTTATAAATCGTTCCAGTATTTCAAAGTATTTTTTTATTAGTTTCCGGTTAATGGATGCTGTTTCAGATTCTGGATACTTTTTCGTTATCTATAATAGACTTTCATCCTATTTGATCAATCGATTTTTCGCCATAACATCTTTTTTCTTATGTAGTAATGTAAACCAGTAAAGAAAGTCTTAAAGTCGGGCGGGGCTGACTTTATGATACCCTACACCCCCTTGCATACATAACAGAGCTTTACATACAAAAATAAAAGTTCTTTTGGGGAATTTGTGAGAATTAAATCAGACCAACTAAGATTATAGTTCTAATTGAAAATCCAAAGAACTAAATCTGCCGAGGCATTTGTGTTTTTTTTCAATTAGGGCTTGTATTAGCCATTTGGTGCACAATTAATTTGAAATCAGATAAAGATATATATGGGAGCTATATCCAAATCTGAACCGATATCTATATAATTTGGCAGAAGTATTTCTGAACTGAATTTGATATGTTTGTTTCTCTTTCGAGACGAGCTAAATGATCTGAAATTTGCAATGAAAAGGAAAGGCAGATAGACACTATCATACACTCACTACTATGCGACGCCTTTCGCCGTTGGTTAAGCGGCTCATTAGGCATATTTGGTGTGGATGATGGCCGTTCTCTGGAAAGTAGTATTTATTTCGAAAAATGGCACGCAAACTGAATATATCGCAATAATATTAAAAAAGGAGCTCGGGGTGAAGCCATGGAAATTCCAAAAAGTGCAAGAACTTGCATCGCAACAGAGAGAAAATAGCCTCAAAAGAGCTAAAGAGTTGCATCGCTGGGCCGAAAGTGGTGAATTTGGTTTTCTCCGATGAAAAAACATTCGTTCTCCAGCAGTTTGTAAACAAACAAAACGACCGTGTTTACTAGCCAAAGAGGTCAGCTGAAAATGTGCACCTTCGGTTGGCCACCAGAAATCAACGGCCATGGTGATGGCGTGGGTCGCCCTAACAGCCGATGGTTGGTCGTATTAATCGACCGTGGCATCAGAATAAATGCCGAATATAACCGCGAAAATATTCTGGAGGCTGTATTAAAGCCTTGGGCATGCAAACATTTTGGCCGCAGACCTTGGACATTCCAACAGGGCTCAGCACGGTTACAGCATGGTTACAAAATGAGGTTCCTCGCTTCATTTCCAGCCCACAATGGCCACCAAAATCTCCGGACACCAATCCGTTGGTCTATTGTATCTGGAGTATTTTAGAAAGTAAGGTTGGCTCTAAAAAGAGCTTCGCCGGAAATGGGTCAAAATACCGCAGAGCAACATTCGTGTAGCGTGTGACGGTTTCATTTGCCAATGGTGACCAATTCGAAAAAATCTAAAATTATTCTTAAATTTGATGCTATTTCCGATTTTTTTTTGCTTTCCTTCAATAAAATTAAAAATTATGGCGTTTTTATACCCTCCACCATACTATGGAGGGTATATTAACTTTGTCATTCCGTTTGTAACTCCTCGAAATACTCATGTCAGACCCAACAAAGTATATATATTCTTGATCAGCGTAAAATTCTAAGTCGATTTAGCGATTTCCGTCTGTCTGTCTGTCTGTCTGTCTGTCTGTCTGTCTGTCCGTCCGTCTGTCTGTTGTAATCACGCTATCTTTCGAATAAATTGAGATAGATGGCTAAAATTTTGCACACATGTTTATTTTTCCAGTAGGCAGATTAAGTTCGTAAATGGGCCATGTAGGTCCACGTTTTCATATAGCTCCCATATAACGGTAACCCCCCTATATTCGGTATTTTGATGATTTTAGCGACGTTATTCACCAGAATTGTTTCGAATTTGGTATTTGAAGTTCCAAATGGATACTACACCCTAAGATAGAAAATTGTCTGTGCAAGTCTATGTCTTCGTATAGCCCCCATATTACGGTACCTCCCGATATTCGGTATTTTGATGATTTTAGCGACATTATTCACGGGAATTGATTCAAATCTGGTATTTGAAGTTCCAAATGAATACTACATCCTAAGACTGAAAATTGTCTGTGCAGGTCCACGTCTTCGTATAGCCCCCATATAACGGCACCTCGACCATGCGTGCAAAATATTAACAATATACGTCTTCGTTTTTTAAAAGGTCTTATAAATACCCCTCACTTTTCACTTATTTATTATATTTAGTATTTTTCAATAGAATTGTATTTTGTTGTCTCCGGCCCTAGGAAATCTTCTTTTGTAGAATATTTGCCAGATCCCTTTTAAAATCAGCTGCTAAACATTTTTTGAAAAAATACTTGTCTGTGCTCTTGTGAGTCTGGCTTGAGGTCTAAAATTGTCGACCAAAATAATCTTCATATTGTTATATGCTATATTTTCAAGGCCGCTTAATGTCTAAAATGTAAGGACTTTAAAACATATTTATCTGAAAATTTCAAAAAAAACTTAAAGAGGGTAACTTTCCCCTCTATTTGGACTACTTTGCAATGCATACTTTCAAAACGCAAGAGAACCTGTATCTCCTACCTGTCCTTTTCTTCCATAATCCACAGTTTTTTTGTATAGAGTTTTAACAAAACTTTCAGACATTATGAATATTCTATCCCTGGCTTATTTGAAATATTTTTCAACAAAAATTCGTAATACCTTCAGGTAATAATAAAACAATTGACATTTTGCAGATATGTGTAAACATTTGTAGTTATTTGCGATGGCGAAAAATCAATTTTGTTTGAACCCAAACCGATAGATATCTTCAAATTGTAAAACAGAATCTGATGATATTTACTTTTCGCTTCATTTTTTCCTATAAGAAAATTCTCAGATTCTGGAACTTGTCGTTGAATTTGGTTAATTTGGTAGGAAGTGAGTTCTGGAACTAATGAGATAAAAATATATAAACATTTTTTTTTTTTGGAATATTTTTAGAGAATTTCGAAATTCTTATTAGTTTCTTCTTTTTGCTACAGATAGTATTTTTTACTCCAACTGGGGACTAATTTGGTAAAGAGGACTTGATTTCAAATGATCATTGTTCAGAATTAGTTATCAGATACATATGATGACTAAATGATTTAACGAGTGTACGGAATGTATTTCATATTGTGGTGACTGAGTGTGACAATTTCAAAAGCAAACAAATGGAAAAAATATAAGAAAAACAAAAACATGTTCAGATTCTGAGGACTTGATTCTGTATAGAAAAAAATATTTGGTAAATTATTGAAGAACTTAGCAAAAAGAATTATCATTAATTAAGTAGTGCTCTTAAAATCTGGACGAATGATTCAATAGGGTTATCCAACTTGCAAATGAGAACAGATGTTTAAAACGAATCAAAATCGTACAAATAATCCTACGAATCGGCTTGACCAATTGATATTTAGATTCCGTAGGTTTGAATATGAATAGGACGCAAGCTATTTTTTCAAACGCTAAGTGGGGAATCTCAGAAATTTTAACACATCCTAAATTGAAATTTTACTTGGGGACATAATATTGAAAAAAAAAAAAAAATAAATAAATAAAAAGAAAATGCCACAATAACAAGTTACAAAGTACCAGTCTGTTTTGCCGACATATGTTTACCCTCCGCCAATGTTCGATTATTTAAATATATTTTGAATTCTGTTATGATTATACAATTTGTTGACCCTCTATGGAGTAGGTACCGAAGGAATGGGCCAATACTGACCATTTCGTATTGAACCTAAATAAAAATAATTTTAATATTGCGACGGGCCAGTTTTCGACTATATTCAGGGCTGTCATAGAAACCAATTTTGACACTATTGGTTTTAAAAACGACAAGAAAGCATGCTGTCACTTTTCATTTGCTTTGGATTTTTTAAAGAATTTTTAAAGGACTATAGACGTGGATTTTTTAAAGAATTTTTAAAGGACTATAGACGTGGATTTTTTAAAGAATTTTTATAGGACAATAGACGTGGATTTTTTAAAGAATTTTATAGGACAATAGACGTGGATTTTTTAAAGAATTTTTATAGGACAATAGACGTGGATTTTTTAAAGAATTTTTATAGGACAATAGACGTGGATTTTTTAAAGAATTTTTATAGGACAATAGACGAGGATTTTTTAAAGAATTTTTATAGGACAATAAACGTGGATTTTTAAAGAATTTTTATAGGACAATAGACGTGGATTTTTTAAAGAATTTTATAGGACAATAGACGTGGATTTTTTAAAGAATTTTTATAGGACAATAGACGTGGATTTTTTAAACAATTTTTATAGGACAATAGACGTGGATTTTTTAAAGAATTTTTATAGGACAATAGACGTGGATTTTTTAAAGAATTTTTATAGGACAATAAACGTGGATTTTTTAAAGAATTTTTATAGGACAATAGACGTGGATTTTTTAAAGAATTTTTATAGGACAATAGACGTGGATTTTTAAAGAATTTTTATAGGACAATAGACGTGGATTTTTTAAAGAATTTTTATAGGACAATAGACGTGGATTTTTAAAGAATTTTTATAGGACAATAGACGTGGATTTTTTAAAGAATTTTTATAGGACAATAGACGTGGATTTTTTAAAGAATTTTTATAGGACAATAGATGTGGATTTTTTAAAGAATTTTTATAGGACAATAGACGTGGATTTTTTAAAGAATTTTTATAGGACAATAGACGTGGATTTTTTAAAGAATTTTTATAGGACAATAGACGTGGATTTTTTAAAGAATTTTTATAGGACAATAGACGTGGATTTTTTAAAGAATTTTTATAGGACAATAGACGTGGATTTTTTAAAGAATTTTTATAGGACAATAGACGTGGATTTTTTAAAGAATTTTTATAGGACAATAGACGTGGATTTTTTAAAGAATTTTTATAGGACAATAGACGTGGATTTTTTTAAAGAATTTTTATAGGACAATAGACGTGGATTTTTTAAACAATTTTTATAGGACAATAGACGTGGATTTTTTAAACAATTTTTATAGGACAATAGACGTGGATTTTTTAAACAATTTTTATAGGACAATAGACGTGGATTTTTTAAACAATTTTTATAGGACAATAGACGTAGATTTTTTAAACAATTTTTATAGGACAATAGACGTGGATTTTTTAAACAATTTTTATAGGACAATAGACGTGGATTTTTTAAAGAATTTTTATAGGACAATAGACGTGGATTTTTTAAAGAATTTTATAGGACAATAGACGTGGATTTTTTAAACAATTTTTATAGGACAATAGACGTGGATTTTTTTAAACAATTTTTATAGGACAATAGACGTGGATTTTTTAAACAATTTTTATAGGACAATAGACGTGGATTTTTTAAACAATTTTTATAGGACAATAGACGTGGATTTTTAAACAATTTTTATAGGACAATAGACGTGGATTTTTTAAACAATTTTTATAGGACAATAGACGTGGATTTTTTAAACAATTTTTATAGGACAATAGACGTGGATTTTTTAAACAATTTTTATAGGACAATAGACGTGGATTTTTTAAACAATTTTTATAGGACAATAGACGTGGATTTTTTAAACAATTTTTATAGGACAATAGACGTGGATTTTTTAAACAATTTTTATAGGACAATAGACGTGGATTTTTTAAACAATTTTTATAGGACAATAGACGTGGATTTTTAAACAATTTTTATAGGACAATAGACGTGGATTTTTAAACAATTTTATAGGACAATAGACGTGGATTTTTTAAACAATTTTTATAGGACAATAGACGTGGATTTTTTAAACAATTTTTATAGGACAATAGACGTGGATTTTTTAAACAATTTTTATAGGACAATAGACGTGGATTTTTTAAACAATTTTTATAGGACAATAGACGTGGATTTTTTAAACAATTTTATAGGACAATAGACGTGGATTTTTTAAACAATTTTTATAGGACAATAGACGTGGATTTTTTAAACAATTTTTATAGGACAATAGACGTGGATTTTTTAAACAATTTTTATAGGACAATAGACGTGGATTTTTTAAACAATTTTTATAGGACAATAGACGTGGATTTTTTAAACAATTTTTATAGGACAATAGACGTGGATTTTTTAAACAATTTTTATAGGACAATAGACGTGGATTTTTTAAACAATTTTTATAGGACAATAGACGTGGATTTTTTAAACAATTTTTATAGGACAATAGACGTGGATTTTTTAAACAATTTTTATAGGACAATAGACGTGGATTTTTTAAACAATTTTTATAGGACAATAGACGTGGATTTTTTAAACAATTTTTATAGGACAATAGACGTGGATTTTTTAAACAATTTTTATAGGACAATAGACGTGGATTTTTAAACAATTTTTATAGGACAATAGACGTGGATTTTTTAAACAATTTTTATAGGACAATAGACGTGGATTTTTAAACAATTTTTATAGGACAATAGACGTGGATTTTTTAAACAATTTTTATAGGACAATAGACGTGGATTTTTTAAACAATTTTTATAGGACAATAGACGTGGATTTTTTAAACAATTTTTATAGGACAATAGACGTGGATTTTTTAAACAATTTTTATAGGACAATAGACGTGGATTTTTTAAACAATTTTTATAGGACAATAGACGTGGATTTTTTAAACAATTTTTATAGGACAATAGACGTGGATTTTTAAACAATTTTTATAGGACAATAGACGTGGATTTTTTAAACAATTTTTATAGGACAATAGACGTGGATTTTTTAAACAATTTTTATAGGACAATAGACGTGGATTTTTTAAACAATTTTATAGGACAATAGACGTGGATTTTTTAAACAATTTTTATAGGACAATAGACGTGGATTTTTTAAACAATTTTATAGGACAATAGACGTGGATTTTTTAAACAATTTTTATAGGACAATAGACGTGGATTTTTTAAACAATTTTTATAGGACAATAGACGTGGATTTTTTAAACAATTTTTATAGGACAATAGACGTGGATTTTTTAAACAATTTTTATAGGACAATAGACGTGGATTTTTTAAACAATTTTTATAGGACAATAGACGTGGATTTTTTAAACAATTTTTATAGGACAATAGACGTGGATTTTTAAACAATTTTTATAGGACAATAGACGTGGATTTTTTAAACAATTTTTATAGGACAATAGACGTGGATTTTTTAAACAATTTTTATAGGACAATAGACGTGGATTTTTAAACAATTTTTATAGGACAATAGACGTGGATTTTTAAACAATTTTTATAGGACAATAGACGGGGATTTTTTAAACAATTTTTATAGGACAATAGACGTGGATTTTTTAAACAATTTTATAGGACAATAGACGTGGATTTTTTAAAGAATTTTATAGGACAATTTTTATAGGACAATAGACGTGGATTTTTTAAAGAATTTTTATAGGACAATAGACGTGGATTTTTTAAAGAATTTTTATAGGACAATAGACGTGGATTTTTTAAAGAATTTTTATAGGACAATAGACGTGGATTTTTTAAACAATTTTTATAGGACAATAGACGTGGATTTTTTAAACAATTTTTATAGGACAATAGACGTGGATTTTTTAAACAATTTTTATAGGACAATAGACGTGGATTTTTTAAACAATTTTTATAGACAATAGACGTGGATTTTTTAAACAATTTTTATAGGACAATAGACGTGGATTTTTTAAACAATTTTTATAGGACAATAGACGTGGATTTTTTAAACAATTTTTATAGGACAATAGACGTGGATTTTTTAAAGAATTTTTATAGGACAATAGACGTGGATTTTTTAAAGAATTTTTATAGGACAATAGACGTGGATTTTTTAAAGAATTTTTATAGGACAATAGACGTGGATTTTTTAAAGAATTTTTATAGGACAATAGACGTGGATTTTTTAAAGAATTTTTATAGGACAATAGACGTGGATTTTTTAAAGAATTTTTATAGGACAATAGACGTGGATTTTTTAAAGAATTTTTATAGGACAATAGACGTGGATTTTTTAAACAATTTTTATAGGACAATAGACGTGGATTTTTTAAACAATTTTTATAGGACAATAGACGTGGATTTTTTAAACAATTTTTATAGGACAATAGACGTGGATTTTTTAAAGAATTTTTATAGGACAATAGACGTGGATTTTTTAAAGAATTTTTATAGGACAATAGACGTGGATATTTTAAAGAATTTTTATAGGACAATAGACGTGGATTTTTTAAACAATTTTTATAGGACAATAGACGTGGATTTTTTAAAGAGTTTTTATAGGACAATAGACGTGGATTTTTTAAAGAATTTTTATAGGACAATATACGTGGATATTTTAAAGAATTTTTATAGGACAATAGACGTGGATTTTTTAAAGAATTTTTATAGGACAATAGACGAGGATTTTTTAAAGAATTTTTATAGGACAATAGACGAGGATTTTTTAAAGAATTTTTATAGGACAATAGACGTGGATTTTTTAAAGAATTTTTATAGGACAATAGACGTGGATTTTTTAAAGAATTTTTATAGGACAATAGACGTGGATTTTTTAAACAATTTTTATAGGACAATAGACGTGGATTTTTTAAACAATTTTTATAGGACAATAGACGTGGATTTTTTAAACAATTTTTATAGGACAATAGACGTGGATTTTTTAAACAATTTTTATAGGACAATAGACGTGGATTTTTTAAACAATTTTTATAGGACAATAGACGTGGATTTTTTAAACAATTTTTATAGGACAATTGACGTGGATTTTTTAAACAATTTTTATAGGACAATAGACGTGGATTTTTTAAACAATTTTTATAGGACAATAGACGTGGATTTTTTAAACAATTTTTATAGGACAATAGACGTGGATTTTTTAAACAATTTTTATAGGACAATAGACGTGGATTTTTTAAACAATTTTTATAGGACAATAGACGTGGATTTTTTAAACAATTTTTATAGGACAATAGACGTGGATTTTTTAAACAATTTTTATAGGACAATAGACGTGGATTTTTTAAACAATTTTATAGGACAATAGACGTGGATTTTTTTAAACAATTTTTATAGGACAATAGACGTGGATTTTTTAAACAATTTTTATAGGACAATAGACGTGGATTTTTTAAACAATTTTATAGGACAATAGACGTGGATTTTTTAAACAATTTTTATAGGACAATAGACGTGGATTTTTAAACAATTTTTATAGGACAATAGACGTGGATTTTTTAAACAATTTTTATAGGACAATAGACGTGGATTTTTTAAACAATTTTTATAGGACAATAGACGTGGATTTTTTAAACAATTTTTATAGGACAATAGACGTGGATTTTTTAAACAATTTTTATAGGACAATAGACGTGGATTTTTTAAACAATTTTTATAGGACAATAGACGTGGATTTTTTAAACAATTTTATAGGACAATAGACGTGGATTTTTTAAACAATTTTTATAGGACAATAGACGTGGATTTTTTAAACAATTTTTATAGGACAATAGACGTGGATTTTTTAAAGAATTTTTATAGGACAATAGACGTGGATTTTTTAAAGAATTTTTATAGGACAATAGACGAGGATTTTTAAAGAATTTTTATAGGACAATAGACGAGGATTTTTTAAAGAATTTTTATAGGACAATAGACGTGGATTTTTTAAAGAATTTTTATAGGACAATAGACGTGGATTTTTTAAAGAATTTTTATAGGACAATAGACGAGGATTTTTTAAAGAATTTTTATAGGACAATAGACGAGGATTTTTTAAAGAATTTTTATAGGACAATAGACGTGGATTTTTTAAAGAATTTTTATAGGACAATAGACGTGGATTTTTTAAAGAATTTTTATAGGACAATAGACGTGGATTTTTTAAAGAATTTTTATAGGACAATAGACGTGGATTTTTTAAACAATTTTTATAGGACAATTGACGTGGATTTTTTAAAGAATTTTTATAGGACAATAGACGTGGATTTTTTAAAGAATTTTTATAGGACAATAGACGTGGATTTTTTAAAGAATTTTTATAGGACAATAGACGTGGATTTTTTAAACAATTTTTATAGGACAATAGACGTGGATTTTTTAAAGAATTTTTATAGGACAATTGACGTGGATTTTTTAAAGAATTTTTATAGGACAATAGACGTGGATTTTTTAAAGAATTTTTATAGGACAATAGACGTGGATTTTTTAAAGAATTTTTATAGGACAATAGACGTGGATTTTTTAAAGAATTTTTATAGGACAATAGACGTGGATTTTTTAAAGAATTTTTATAGGACAATAGACGTGGATTTTTTAAAGAATTTTTATAGGACAATAGACGTGGATTTTTTAAACAATTTTTATAGGACAATAGACGTGGATTTTTTAAAGAATTTTTATAGGACAATAGACGTGGATTTTTTAAAGAATTTTTATAGGACAATAGACGTGGATTTTTTAAAGAATTTTTATAGGACAATAGACGTGGATTTTTTAAAGAATTTTTATAGGACAATAGACGTGGATTTTTTAAAGAATTTTTATAGGACAATAGACGTGGATTTTTTAAAGAATTTTTATAGGACAATAGACGTGGATTTTTTAAAGAATTTTTATAGGACAATAGACGTGGATTTTTTAAAGAATTTTTATAGGACAATAGACGTGGATTTTTAAAGAATTTTTATAGGACAATAGACGTGGATTTTTTAAAGAATTTTTATAGGACAATAGACGTGGATTTTTTAAAGAATTTTTATAGGACAATAGACGTGGATTTTTTAAAGAATTTTTATAGGACAATAGACGTGGATTTTTTAAAGAATTTTTATAGGACAATAGACGTGGATTTTTTAAAGAATTTTTATAGGACAATAGACGTGGATTTTTTAAAGAATTTTTATAGGACAATAGACGTGGATTTTTTAAAGAATTTTTATAGGACAATAGACGTGGATTTTTTAAAGAATTTTTATAGGACAATAGACGTGGATTTTTTAAAGAATTTTTATAGGACAATAGACGTGGATTTTTTAAAGAATTTTTATAGGACAATAGACGTGGATTTTTTAAAGAATTTTTATAGGACAATAGACGTGGATTTTTTAAAGAATTTTTATAGGACAATAGACGTGGATTTTTTAAAGAATTTTTATAGGACAATAGACGTGGATTTTTTAAAGAATTTTTATAGGACAATAGACGTGGATTTTTTAAAGAATTTTTATAGGACAATAGACGTGGATTTTTTAAAGAATTTTTATAGGACAATAGACGTGGATTTTTTAAAGAATTTTTATAGGACAATAGACGTGGATTTTTTAAAGAATTTTTATAGGACAATAGACGTGGATTTTTTAAAGAATTTTTATAGGACAATAGACGTGGATTTTTTAAAGAATTTTTATAGGACAATAGACGTGGATTTTTTAAAGAATTTTTATAGGACAATTTTTATAGGACAATAGACGTGGATTTTTTAAAGAATTTTTATAGGACAATAGACGTGGATTTTTTAAAGAATTTTTATAGGACAATAGACGTGGATTTTTTAAACAATTTTTATAGGACAATAGACGTGGATTTTTTAAAGAATTTTTATAGGACAATAGACGTGGATTTTTTAAAGAATTTTTATAGGACCATAAACGTGGGTTGCTGAAATCAAAAACGACAATAAGCAAAACCGACATAGTTTCTGTGACAGCCCTGATTATTTACTTCACTTTATACGAAATATGTGATAATTTTTAGAAAATGTTAATTTACGAGTGAGTTGTCAGAAGTATTATAATTTTATACTTCATTTAATACGGATCAGAATTTTGGTATGGACAAAATTACAAGAAAATCGAATATTTATATCCAATTTTATTCGAAATCATAAATTCCATATTCATCTCAGGTTTCTGGTTGAGAGAAATGTTTAGATATAGCAAGCAGTAAAGAAAAACTGTTGATCATTTGTGGGGCAAGTACATGATGGTCTATTTCCACACCTGACCTAGCACTAACGAAAGTATTTGGATTTGCAAAGTGGGAGCTAAATCGGATTATTGTTTCTCTTTCAGTGCAGAAAATATATTTTTTGAAAATTTCGAACCTTTTGTGGAGGAGTGGACCGATATATTCTATCTTAACACCAGACCTTAAGTTGATAAAATTGTTGGGATGTGTGAAATTTAAAGACGATCGGACTCTTACATCATATTTTACAAGAGTTGTAATTATTAAAAATTTTGACAATTTGTGGGGGAGGTACTTGATGGAATGGACCGATATTATCCATTTTTGCACCCGACAGAGAACTGAGGCAAATATTAGGAGTTGTAAAGTTGGAGCAAAATCGAATTATTGCTTCTCTTTCTGTCCAAAACATTTTTTTTGAAAATTTCGACTTTTGTGGGGAGGTATCAGAAGGAGTGGACCGAAGTATTTCATCTTAACACTAGACCTTGGGTTAATAAAATTATTGGGATATGTGAAATTTGAAGACAATCGGACTCTTACATCACATTCTATGAGAGTTGTAATTATTCAAAATTTTGACCCTTAGTGGGGGAGGTATTTGATGGAATGGATAGATATTGTCCACTTTCGCACCTGACCCAGCACTGAGGCAAATATTAGGATTTGCAAAGTTGAAGCAAAATCGGATCATCCTTTCTCTTTCAGTGCAATAAAATATTTTCTTTGAAAATTTCGACATTTAGTGGGGGAGGTGCCAGAAGGAGTGGGCGGATATTGCCCGTCTCCGAACTAGGTCTAAGTTTGGCAATAATATTACGATGTACCAAGTTTGGACCAAATCGGATGCTCCCATCGAGAGTTATAGTTCGTACCAGTCAGACAGACAGACGGACGGACATCGCTAATTGGGCCCCAAATGTCTTAAAACGGATTTGGTCCAAAAAGACCTAGGGTCTAAGATCGTTATTTCGACTAGGCACGTTTTGGCCATATCAAAATATACTCTCTGTAGCCATATGGCTGAGGGCACAAAAATAATTTTATTTTAAAAGTTAAAAATTTCGGAGATTTTCGATAAATATATGGGGTATATCTTAGTGCGGATCGAATTGTAACCTGTTCAATACCAATTATTCTAATAAAAATATAAATGTATGTGTAAGGTTGGAAGGGTCTATCTTAAATACTGCAAAGTCTATTTTGTTCTCAACAGACGGCTAAACAGATGGACGGACAGACATAGAATTGTATGGACATCCATACAGAACTGTATATAGACCACAAATAGACTTATCACCGATAAAGGTATATTCGTACATTGTGGAATAGGATATATTTTTCTTTAAAAAAATACTGATACCTAAATATACAATTGGCCGAAAACTATGAGTCTAAAAATTGGTTAAAATAACATAAAGGATAAATTGATAAATAAAGGATTCAATTATGTCTCGATTAATAATAATCTTCTCTAATTGGATAACCCCATTAACAACAACGAATGTCGAACACATACAACAAACATAAACATTAAATCATAAAAACAACCACAACAACACCATCTGCCACTTACCCTTGCACCGAATTCGATGTCGATAAAATGCCATTATCCAAGGAATCTCTGGAAAAATCATCGGCCATCTGGACCTTTAATTGATGGCCAAATGAATGCATATCCGAATTCGGTGTCATCACCGAACCGGGTGTGTGAACACGATATTGGCCGGGTGTGGTTACCGAACCGGGTTGTGATATTGAGTTTGTCATGCCAGGACCACCGTTGGGCAGGATACCATCAACAATACAACTTTCACCCGTCGTCGAATCGTGCATGTTTATGACTTGACTTCCAGCAGCATTGTCTGCGAGCGCTGCGCCATCGCTGTCGTCCACACCCTCATCGTCAATGTCCATGTCTTCGGCATTTTTATCCAGCGGTGCTGTCTCCTCGTCCTCATTGTAGATTTTGAAATAGGCATATGTCAAATAGATCACAGATATAATAAAGGAGGGTATCGGAATCGCCATGGAGTAGATTAGATTCAATGTATTCTGCCAGTAGTCCAGCTCGCTGATGACCACACTAGGATCTACTTTGGAATAGTAGCAGGGAAATTTGACTCCCAGTTTGGTGTAACGCTTAAACCATATGGTACAATTGAGCACAGGCGGATAGCCGCATCCCTTGACATTCGGATAGAGATGGGCGCCAACGAAAAAATATTTACTATCATTGCTGCTCATAAGGCCCCTGTTCAGCTCTGAGATCTCCTCAAAGACATCGCTGCCATCGGCATTGATCAGTGTATCAGAGTCCGGATCCAGACCGGAATCTTCTATAAGGAAACCATTGGAACCATCCTCGTCGCCGAAATTCAAATGTTCCATAACCATGCCGCCACCGCCGCCGCCGCCTCCCTCATCGTCCATGGCGGCTGCCATGGGGTCATGCGGACCCAGATCATATTCGTAATCGCGTATGGCTCTCGTATAGCGATCGGTACGTTTTTTGGGCGGAATCACCTTCTCAGCCTCCTTGAGATTGATGTGATACTCGGTGAAGTTGAACTCATCCGTGTAGTTGTACAGATTCAGGCGATAGTTCACCATGATTTGGGTGCACTCGAATATCTCTCGCGTGCAGCCCTCGCGGCAGGACGACCAACTGCAGTTGCGGGCCCCGAAGCGGTGTATTGTCGACGAGGTCTCACACAGGGCGGGAACTTCTTCGAACTGCATGAATATCGTGGTGAAGGCCGGCTCTATGACGAATGGCACCAAAAAGAGGAAAGCAAACATGCTAAAGGTACCGAGCAATATGAAAAAGGCAGTCGTATAAAAGAGCAATTTCTCGCGCAGGGTACGAATTTCCAGTTCATCACCCATGTTTTTTTTTTTTTGTTTTTAGTTAGTTAAGCTATTTGCAATAATACTTAATAATAATAATAATTTGTTCTTAAACTAGTTAATTTTTTTTTTTTTTTTTTGAAAAAATGCTTGTTGTTGCTTAGTAAATATAGTAAGCGTTTGTTTAGCTTATATTCTTAGTTAGCGTTAGTGAGCGCGTTTAACAAGAGAGATTATCTTTTAGTTTGAGGCGAAAGGTTTCCTTTTGTTTTTTGTTTTGGTTTTCCTTTGTTATTTGCTGCAGGAGGTTAAAGAGAGAGATGCGTAGATTTGAATCAAAATCTTAAAGAGTTAAATTAGCGCATTGGAGGTTTAAGTTAGTTGACTTGTGTGTGTGTGTTTTTGTTTGTTGTTGTTGTATTCCTTAACTTATCAGCTAGAGATGATTTTTAGTGCAATTTTTATATCACAGGGTGTTTTGGTTTATTTTTGTTAATATTTTTTTTTAGTTTTTGTTTTTGTTTTTTTTAATTTATATGATTAGCGACACACAATATTCCAATATTTCGTAAATCGTTCTGATCTGATTGCTGTCCATTTGCAACACTTTGAAATCGCGTTTTCTTTCTGTATTTTGTCGTTTGTCAAAGAATAAACTTGAGTTTTGTTGTCATTTTGCTCAGAAAGTGTTTTCAGTTCGTCGTTTTGTTATCTTTTATCATCGTTTGTTTTCATTTGGTTTTAGTTTTTTCATTAATTGCTTATTTTCAGGTTTATTGGACTGGAGCCATCTTTGTGCTCATTGTTATGGAGCTTGGGTGCCATTGCTTTCTTTCTGTTCATCCTTTGTTGAATAACTGCAAAGAAACGGAATTCTTTTTTTAGTTTCGGGACAACTTTATTGAAAATTTGAAACACTTTAAGGAAGTTAAAATTTTTTAGAGCATCTTAAAATAAATTATAAAAGTTACAATCTTCAAAAATTGTAATTCTAAGATTCATAAGAAATGTTTGTATAGACATTTTCTGCCTAAAATAAAATTTTATGTCACTTTCAAACATGAACTCGAAAAAAGTTCAAGAAATAAATTAAACAAGAAATCAGTAAAGAAAGTCTAAATGTCCGGCGGGCCGACTTTATGATACCCTACACCCCTTGGCATATTCAAGGTGAGATGAAAAACTGCAACTATCTTCAGATTTGTGTCATTTCTAAGCCACTCGTATGACAGCTGTTTTAAAATTATTCCAGTGACAGCTCATTATATTGTTTACAAGCGTACAAAAGCATTTTGGTGAGAATTATCCAGAAAAAAAGTTATTCGTGGTGGAATTCAAGCGTGATAGTGTGATTTATTTACATTTGGCTGGAAATCCACAAGTGGCTATCGTTAGAGCATTTAAATGTGAATAAATCTTTTGTGTCTCGTACCATTGCTCGTTACCGTGAAACTGATGGCGTAGCTCGACGTCAAGGAAGTGGACGGAAGAAAACAGCAACATCAACAGAAATGTAGCGAAAAGCAAAGAAGCGAAGCGACTTGATCGAAACCCGCGTCGCAGTGGCCAAAAAATGACTCGTGAGCTGAACATCGCAATATTCCATTCGGAAAATATTGAAAAATGAGCTCGGGGTAAAGCCATTGAAATTCCAAAAAACGCAGGAACTTACACCTCAACAGAAAGAAAATAGGCTCAAAAGAGTTACAGATTTGCTTAGCTTGGCCGAAAGTGGTGAACTTTAGTTTTCTCCGATGAGAAAAAATTTGTTGTCCAGCAGTTCGTAAACAAACAAACTGATCGTGTTTACTTGTCAAAGAGGTCAGCTGAAAATGTGCACCTTCGGTTGACCATCAGAACTCAAGCGCCGGCCATGGTGATGGTGTGGGCCGCCATAACAGCCGATGGTCGCTCTCCGCTCATATTAATCGACCGAGCATTAGAATAAATGCCGAATATTATCGCGAAATTATTCTGGAGGGTGTATTAAAGCCTTGGGCACGAAAACATTTTGGCCGCAGACCTTGGACATTCCAACAGGACTCAGCACTATCGCACTCAGCACGCGCCACCTAAGAATGATTACAAAATGAGGTTCCTCGCCCCAAGCGCTTCGCCGGGAATGAGCCAAAATACCGCAGAGCAACATTCGGGCAGCGTGTGGCGGTTTTATTGGCCAAAATTTGTACCAAAGGTGACCAATTCGAACAAATCTAGAGTTATTCTAAAATTTGATTCTATTTCCGACATTTTTTGTTTTCCTTCAATAAAATTTAAAATAAAGAAAATGTAAAAATTATGGCGTTTGACTTTGTTGAATTTTTTTTATCTCACCCTGTAGCTATTTTAAATGTTGATCCTTTATGGGGGAGGTACCCGAACCAGTAAGCTTATATCGTCCATTTCTGTATCTGAAGTAAGCCCAACACAATTATTACACTGTTTGAAGTTTGAACCTAATCCTAAAATCCCTTCGATTTCTATGATAAGTATGATTACGCCCTCTAACATAAAATGAAGAGTATATTAATATTGTCTCAAAATTCGTCGGGGCCCACTATTATATATACATATTTATATTTCGCCTGGAATTCTATGTGGATTCTGCCATGTCCGTCTATTGACTTGGGTTCACAATAATAAAGTTAGAGCTTTGATATTGTTTGAAAGTGGAAAATGAAATACATCGGCACGTGGTTATTCCTGTTTTTAGATATTTTGTAGATCCCACCCCAAAATCCCACTAATTCAGGTGGAATTTGACATATAGGTATCTCAGTGGAAAGTAGAACTCCTCATAAAAAATATAGTTAGTATAGATCCACTTTTTAGTATCACCCTCATTAACATTACCCCATTGCCACCTATTTTTATTTGTTCTGATTACAACAGACGGACAAAATTTAGAATTTTTCATTTCGGTAAGTTACAAACGGAATGACGAACTTAATACACACTCCATACTATGTATGGTGGAGGGTATAACAATCATCAATTCTACATTCCGCCAGTCTGACACCTTCGGACCAAGATTTCAAAATTTTAGATTCAGTCGTTTCGTCTAGGCATTGATGAATCATTACTCTATTCACTTTACTATTTTATTTATATAGATAAAAATATGTTCCGTAAAACGTAACTTGCAATCTTGCCAAGGGTCAAGCGGTTGTAAGCTATTGTAAACCACAGATACGTACGTAGACACAGTAAGGGTAATGGGCGAATTGATGGCGAACAAAACGTTTCTGTCGATCTTAAGCCATTACTGCCTTTTAATTTTTAATAAACATTAACAAAAAACATTATTTCATTAGCACTGACTTTTTTCCAAAATTCTCCCACTTCTCTCCTCCCACATTCTCTGTTAATTTTAGTTTATGACATACTCCTTTTACAGTCATTCGAATAGTGTATAGTACAAAGACAACAACAAGAACAACGGAATTTCAAACTATATTCTCTACATTTCAGCCCACTTTTTGATCCTTGCTCGCAGAGCTTAATGGCCGTTAATGGAATAGCTAAATACGGACAAGACATTGGGGAATACGGAGTTTCCACCCCTTTGTTTTTGGGTAATTTTAATTATTTATTTATATTCTTAAAATCCTGTTGTCATTTCCGTCTTTTTACCATCGCCACTTTCTGTTGTCGTTGCTGACTTTAGTTGTTGGCAGTAGACCTACTTCCTCCCTTCATTATGTTGCTGATGTGCATTGTTTATGCGTACGTTTGTCTGTCTGTTTGCCACTTGTGTCTGTCCGTCTGTCAGTATGCCTCTACGAAGAACAATTCACTACTGAGTTGAATATTTTTGCTGCTGTTGATATTGGTTGAGATCGAGTGCCATGTTGACACACAAATCAAGAGGATTTCAAGTGGTTGTCAATATAAACTGGACCGGATCTATGCTATTGTCTAGCTTCTGCTGCTGCTGCTCTCGAAGCAGAGCATTTTTTATTTATATTCTTTAGTATTTTGTTGTACAATTATTTTCTTGGCTTGCTTTGGCCATTTTTGTTGTTGTCTTTTTATTTTCAGTTACCCCTCCCAGGACATGCCTTGGAACCATCCTGCTGTCTTCTATGAATCAGTCAATCGATGACGTAGTTGAAATGAGTTATGGCACTTATACATATATATCTTGTCGCCAAGATGTTTGTGGCCCAGTCAAAGTTGACAATGTTGTTGTTGCTGTTGTTGTCTTTTTAGTGAATGTTTATGGGTGGGCCCCTTGATGGCTTTATCTATATTGTGTAAATGGTCATATTTATGTAAATACCGGTATAATTGTTTTGTTTTTGTCTTATTTTATTATATAGTATAGTGTTTGTGGTAAACATAACGGATGTTGGGAATTATTCGGCATTTAAATTTAACGGAATTAAGCAATTGCTGTGTGTGTGGCATTATGAGAATTAAATATTAATTTCGAGAAATTTTCTATTCTAAATATTAATTTTAAATTTTGTAGATATTAAAGAGAAATGATATATTAAATTGAAAATTTGAAATAACAGGAGGGAATTCTAAAAAATAATGGTTACCAAGAAATGCTGTTACCAAGAAATGCTGTCGAACAGAGAAATATTTTCGCATGAAATTCTTAGCATTTTTTATGATATTGTTCTCTTTGATGTAATTCCTTCTGACACTTGAGATATTTACAAATTAATTTTTCTAAAATTATATGTAACCAAGTAAAATTAGAGAGATATCCATAATGACACAAAAATTCATTTGAGGCAGTCCCACTGAACTAAGCAGGTTCTTTTTCGAAGCGCAAAGTATGCGTAAAAAGATCGAATTTTAGGAGTACCCTCTTGTACGTCCCAGTTTAATCTACTTCACGACAATGATATCGAGAAGAACCTCATCCATCTCAATAGATAAGCACGTTAGAATGTATTAGCCCATTCTTAATGTATTGCGATTAGCCAAGTTTTTAAGCAGGAGCAGGACTTTGCTCAGTTTATATTTAAAATGTTGAGTATTTATTGGGGAGGAAGAGTGGTGTTGGTATAACGTATAAAGTAAATCCGAGAATAAACAAGTAAAAGAGCAGTAAGTTCTGCCGGGCCGAACTATGAATACCCTCCAACATTTGGAACAAATTTGGAAATTATCAAAAAAAAAAAAAAAAAAAAAAAATAAAAAATAAATAAATAAATAAATAAATAAATAAAAAATAAATAAAAACAAGTAAAAAAGCTGCAAGTTCGGCCGGGCCGAACTTTGAATACTCTCCACCATTTGGAAGGAATTTGGCAATTCTTAAAAATAATTAAATCCGTTAAAAATTCTGTTACAATCATAAAAATACCGAATGTAGCTGTCATATTAGGGTCTATACGCCATTACAATATTCAAATGCGAAACTTAAAAGAAATCGGTAATAATGTAGATAAAATCATCTAAATACCGAATATCGGGAGGTACCGTTATATGGGGGCTATACGAAGATGTGGACCTACACAAACAAATTTGAAACAATTCCGGTGAATGAATTCGCTAAAATCATCAAAATATCGAATATCGGGAGCTTCCGTTATATGGGGGCTATACGAG